CTGAAAAATGGGTGTAAATCAGTAAAAACCAAATAACTTCAATAAACAAAATCGGGGAACTTATCGGTGAAAATCGGTAAAAACTGAAAAAGTGGAACACTAGTCACGACCCACAGGTTGAGAAGTACTGCTCTAGCGGCCCCCTTCTAGCTTCTGGCCTGGGCCACTGCAGACATGTGGCTGCATTTCTGAAGTCAAAAGCAAATGTCTTTTTCACTTGCTTATCAGTTCAATCTGTGCAGTTTAGACTAACCTGCCAAGTTTGAATAGATTCAGCCTCGGGCATTTTGACTGTCTGTACTTAGCCATGGAGGCCATCTCTAACAGTTGTTTGTTTGTTTTTAAATCCATCTTAATTGTTATGTCTCATCTGAAGAAATACTGAAACCAGGAAGAATAATAAGTGGGCGAAACTTGGTTGAAAGCAGTTGGTTTGTGTCCACAGTATGTTTTCCAGCACTCTAAAGTAGGGTTACCATATGTCTGGGTTTTCCCAGACACGTTCTCTTTTTTGGCCCCCTGTCCTCCTATCTTGGCAGGTTTTTAAAATGCAAGCAAATGTCTGCGTTTTTGCCTCTGGCTTTTCCCCAGCACTTCCAGTTTAGCTGGTTGGAGCCGAGGGCAGCGGGGCAAGGTGATTGGCTGTCACATGCTCTGCGCATGGGCCCTGGTAGCTGCTCGCAGGTAAGAGAGACAGGGAGTGCCTGTGTGTGTGCGTGCACATGCCAGCTGCATGGGCAGCAGGGCTGGGGAGCAGGTGCAGGGGCTGCAGGTGGCACCAGCAGGACTGGGGGGGGGGACAGGGGCCAAGTTGTCTACACTGCAATCTGAAAGAGTGATTGCAACCTAAGTAGGCGTCACAAAACTAGTTTTAATTCAAGTCATAGTTACAATAAAAACATGACGCTGGTTTTAGTTCAGCCTGAAGTAGCCCAGCTGGGACTCTGATTACTTACTTGGGCATCTGTGTCTTCACTGCAGGTTTTACTCAAGTTAACTGCATCAGAGCCAGCTCTGGTATACCTTCCCATGCCTTGGTCACACCTCCCAATTACAGGGGAGAAGAAAATAAAAGGAATATGCGCCAGTTTACCATCAGTGCTCAGTGTCAGAACTTGTAGTGGAATATTAAGATACTATAACTTTGGAATTGGCTTGGGAGCAGTGTAACTTAAATATGTCTGGATTACGGATTATGCAGTGGAAAGGATCTCATAGACATCTGTAGACTTGATTAAATTTAAGGTGAATTTTCGGTTTTTTTAAATTGAAGACAAAATGTTTATTTCAAGCAAAATTTAGAGCTTCTGAACATCCGACATTCAATTCTGTACCATTGTATAAATTCTATGTGAGGGGGGAAGGGGGAGAGATTCTGATAAGACATCTCCTGGCTCCTGTGACAAAGCGTCTCCCTGAGCAGGTGATGAGCAAGCAATGAGCTCATATTAATAATCTTCCACACCATAATGGAGTTAAGAATTTTCAGTTGGTTTGTATTGCTGTGCTGAACCCTATCTCATCCTCACCTTATTCCTGAGAACAACATAAATATTTGGCTACTGTTGTCCTCGTCAGCTTTTGCAGAGCATCTAACGTGTCTGTTAGTAACTTTTAATGCGATATGTTTTCCTAAGTTTGTTTATGTTAATTTGCCATATATTGAACTGATGTACACTATTTTTTGAGGAAGCCCCTCATATAATCAATTTGAGAAATTGGTTAAATACATCTTAAAAGCAGTTAGGTGTTTTTGTCCCAAATACTCTTGTTGGCAGTGCTTCAGGACCTCCTGCTCTGCTGGTCAGAAATCTAATTTCCAGCCCTGAGTTTATTCATGGGCAGTTTATACCCATTTATTCCTGTGTCAACAATGTCCTTTGACTTAAATGGCTATTTCCATATATAGTGTTCGTTTCCAGTGTATTTATGGGCGGCAGTCATCTTGTCTCTACATTTTGTTTTGCTAGGTTACACAAGACAAACTCTCAATCTCTCTTTCTCTGATCATCCTCGTACTCTGTTCCAGTGTACAGGACCTTATAAGCACCTTTTGTATTGCAAGTTGTTTCATCTTCTGAATAGAACATTTTCTTATGGTGCTAAAAAACCATAAGGAGTCTCTAAAGTACCATTTGCTCAAATAAGTGTAGGAAAATAAAATTGCTTTCATTTAAAAGATTCTCTTAACTGGATTTGTATTAGTTATTGAAATCCTTTGTCCTCATCCGTGATTGGAAAAATACAGTCTAGATTCTCCAAATTAACATGGAACTGGGAGGGGAAAGAGATGGTTATATGTCAACTTGGATGAAAGCTTGTGTTAAATGCAAATAAGTCTAATTAAATTAGCAGCTTTCTCTGTAATCTTAGGATCTAGTCCTAGGCAACAACTATTGATGACTATAATGCCCCTACCACTGAGTCTGTTAAAGGAAACACATTGGTGTTTATACTGCTTTACCATAGTTGGCAGCTGTGCATAACTAAATTATTTATGTATTATAAGGTTTTGAGATGTGTATGGCGTTTATCCTTATCTTTTTGCTTCAACCAGCACTTGGTAAAAAAATGGATATGAAATGAATCTGGCTTATAAGAGACATAGCTAAAGCTATGATGTGTGCCCCATGAATGCTGTTTACAGAGCAAGTAGAAAGCTCTGGGTGTACTTGTTGGTATAGTACTTGGTATATTTGTTGGTCCCTTTTCTGCCTATTTAACACTAAAGCATTTTGGTGCTAATAAAATAAAATGTAAACCAGATAAAGTTGCACTGTAACATAGCAACAGTTGTTTTAAGTGTACCACACACTTACTCACTTTGCACTCAGGTGGGACTTGTAGCACCTTTCTTCTCCCAAGTCCTGAATGCTTTTTCAGCATATTATTATATGAATTATGCAAATGATTCAGTGGTTTAATACATTATTAGTATATAGAGTTTGTTTAAAAGTGAAATATGATTTGTGGATAGAGAGAACAGTATAGAAATATTCTGTAACATTAAAATAAAAGCTGGTATTGTACTGCTTGCTTGCGCTCTATTACTACAGCCTCCAACCAAAGAAAACTCGTATTACTAAGAGCTGTGCAGTCTGGTGTGACAACACTGTTAGTTTGTACTGCAAACGTATCTTTAGAGAAGTTGCTATGGTGAATATATTCATTAGTAGTGATCCTGCTATTTTTCTTTTCCAAGTCACCTCAAGGTAGAAAGGAGAACAGTATTTAAATTGATTTTTCCCTTCATTTCACAGGTGAAGTCTGTCATTAATCTTCTTTTTGCTGCCTATACGGGGGATGTATCTGCACTCAGAAGGTAAAACTGGTGTGCTGTTGAGGGAAGGTCACCTGTGGTGGTGTTGCAGTACACTTATTAACATATGACCATGTCAGGGATGTTTTAGCTATTTAATACCCATTGGGTTTATCTACACATGCCATTAAGGTGATGTGATAAACTCTGGTGCAGTTCACATGGGATACGACTGCTCCTGGGCACAGCATTTACATATGTGCTGGGGACCACAGCATTTGAGCCAGGGTGGAGCAGCCCCAGGCTGGCAGGGGACCCAGGGAGTCAGCCCTGGGCTCTGGGAAGTGGCAGAGGGCAGTGGAGGGGCTGGCTGGGGCACAAGGGTGCTACAGTGCAGGGCTAGGCAGCAGGCAGTCTCCACACTTTAGCACCCTCGTGCTCTGGCCAGCCTCAGTCACTGTCTACATGTGCATTTCAGTGGAGTAAATTAATTCGCTATAAGACAGTACTGTACTATTGGAGACAGTACTATCTTATGGTGGAGTTAGTTAACTTATTGCATCCTAATACTGGTGCACATGTAGACTGTTACGCTGTACTGCAGAGCGAATTAGTCAAATAAAGTGTATGGGTAGACGCACCTATTGTGAGCAGGACTTCTTAAATGCAAAAAAAATTAAGGAGGAGTCCTGCTGAATCTACTACAACTTCAGACATCTAATCTCTGGAACCATGGCAGTTGAGGAAGTAAGGTGTAGATGATTGCTAGACATAGTGAGTTCTCCCTGATTAAATATTTTTGGGAAAGTATGCAAAATACTGTATGGTAGTTTGCAGTGCAGAAGTCAAAAACAGCTCTTTGTTTGACATAGAATGGTGTTTTCTTTTATGCCTATGAATCAGACTGTGTTGCCTACCTGGTCAGTTTTTATAACAGTGGAAGAGCACGCTAAGTTCCAGTTGGCCTTGAATTTCAGAATTGTCAGCAAAAATCAAATTGGAGATGATGTTTTACTAGTGATTTTGTAAGCCTCAGAAGGAATCCAGTTTAGTTTTCAGTATCAAATAGAGCTTTGTAGGCTGGCTATATTTAACAATTCATTTGAATTATAAACTGAGCAGATTGTATGCCGAATCATTGTGAAGAAAAACACGATTCATATAATTCTCCGTTGTTCTTAGTAAATCAGTAGCCAGTGAGGGCAGAGCTAGAATGGATCCACTTGAGTTAACTTCACATTGTTTAGAGACTCTTTTCTAACTGGAGGAATTATCCAGAATATTTCTCCACTAATGTGAGCTTGCGTCTTTCTGTGCATCAAAAAGTGATCTGAGACATTTGGAGAACTGGGTCTGGATTGTGGTGCTTAGGTGGACAGAGGTCAGTAGCATACACACACTGGTGCAGTAGACCCACTGCTGACTTTTTTTTACAGCAATTTTTCTATTTGTAACCATGACTTATTAGGCCACCAAGAAAACGAAAATACTCTTAAGACCTGGATACTTTTGTGTCTCTTTAATTAAAACTAAATGAAAACAATATATTTCCATTCTTCCTTAAATCCTCTCACAGCAGGCATTTCATTGTTTTGCTATACTTATATTCTGTACTTCTTTCAATTCTCTCTCATTTCTACAGTATTGTATTTCTGTAATTTTTCTTTTTGTTTTGTTTTAGATTTGCTCTGTCAGGCATGGATATGGAGCAAAGAGATTATGATTCACGAACAGCATTGCATGTAGCTGCTGCAGAAGGTAATAGCATTTGAAAAGTACCACATTAGCTGTTAATTTTTCAGAATGAAAAAAAAATGCTTACAAACTTCTATTTCTGTTTTATAGGTCATGTGGAAGTAGTTAAATTTTTGTTGGAGGCCTGCAAAGTGAATCCTTTTCCCAAAGACAGGTTAGTAATAGTGCTGCTGGTATGGAGGGGAGGAGCTCCACTACCTGTAAGATTTTATGAAGCTGGATTCATGAATCTGTCCATCAGGTCCTGTTTCTTCCAAATTCTCCTGGGCAGCTGAAGGTGCTGATAGTTTTGATCATCAGGTCCATCCAGTTAATTTGCAACTCGTATAGAGATCCAGTGAACTGCTTCTACCAGTTAGATCCAGCAATACTCATTTCTTTGTCAAAGAAGCAAAAATTCCAGACTGAAGTAGGAAAGGTATAAAACCAATATCACTGAATAATTTATCCTGAAAAAGGAAAATCAAGGCAAGAAAGTAAAATGCAGATCCATGCAGATTTCTTGATTGTATGTCGTGTGTATAAATATACTGGTAGATGCAGACCTATATAGAGAATATATATATGTAAGCTGGTGTTAGTGTGTGTGTGCACAATATGTATACAGGCAGTCCTCGACTTATGACTTCTTGAGTTGCAACGAATGTCATTTACAACGTTTATAAATTGATGCCCCGTTTCGACATTCAGACATGGGTTTTGTCTTTACAACAGTCGATATTGCATGCAGCTGGTTAAGTGGTGGAAGGGAAGAGGAAGGGATGTGGGGGGCAAATCAATGCTCCCTGTAGTGATGGAGGGAGTGGGGCTGGGACTGGGACTGGGACCAGGGCTGGGGTAAGCAAGGCCAGATGGGGCTGGAGGGAGGAGGGGGCTGGGGCTGTGTTCCAGGTGGGGAATGGATCCTATGGGGGCGTTGCAGCCACCCAAAAATTTGCAGTAGTCCCCACCAGCCACCCGGAGTGCAACCCAGTGCAGCCCTGCCCCTGCCTGCCCTGCCCCATGCAGATCTGGGGGTCACCCCCCCATGCCCTTCTGGACCAGTGGTGGGAACTGCCAGATGAGCAATGCACAGCAGCAAGAGCCACCTGCCCAGCCTTGGCTGTACAGCGCTTGCTTGCCCCAATGCCGTCCTCACTGTGGGGGTGTTAATGTGCCCCCATGCCCCTTCCCTTCCCTACCCCCTCCCCTTCCACCACTTACCAGCAGTATCAACTGTCATAAAGGAACCAATCCCCCACTTGTAATACTGTTCCTATGGGAAAATTGGTTCTGAGTTATGACGCTTTGACTTAAGATGCAGTTTTCAGGAACCAGTTGCGTTGTAAGTCTGAGGACTGCCTGTATAAGTCTTGCAAGACGGGGCTAAAATTATTTAAAATTAAGTGTGAATCTCCCTCCCCAGCAAAGAGGCTGTTTCTACTGTTCCAGTTTTCTGAAAAAAAATTACCCGCACAGTCCATGGAAAGAATATGGTCAGCAAATGAAATACTTAATGTAGTTATCCACTCCTAAGCAGAATTTGCCATAGTTAATGAAGTTTGTATATACATAACTGTTGCCATAAACCTTACTAAATTAAAAGCATGTTAGATCATTAGTTCTTTTAAACTCGTTATAAAGTTACTGATTTGGGAAACACTGTGCTTCTTATTGCAGATGGAATAATACTCCTATGGATGAGGCTTTACATTTTGGACACCACGATGTATTTAAAATTCTTCAAGAATACCAGGTCCAGTATACGCCTTCAGAGGATTCCAACAATGGAAAAGAAAATCGAACAGTTCATAAAAATCTAGATGGCTTGCTATAATACATCTTCAGCTAGATCCTAAGATTTAGATCATTTACCTGTTTAAATGTGGAAAATGAGTAAGAAGAGTGTGTGTGTTTCTAATCTGATAGTGGTGTACATTTTCCAGAAATTTCTGTTACTTCAGTGTTATGTTACAGGAATTTATATACGCACAGGACACATCCAGTTTCTCAAAACAAACAAAAAGAAAACCAACTGAGAATTTCCCTCCATAATGTGAGCAATATTACCTCGTGCTGCGTATAATTGATGTAAAAGAAATATTAGCTGTTGGTGGCTTTACTGTGCACTACTTAATTTATTTTTGTGTTCTTTGTAAACTTTCAATCTGTGGTCAGGAATTTTTCTGCTGAATTTGCATTTCTAAACAAAGACCTGTCTGTACAATATGGCCAAATTGAACCAGAGTGCTGCCAGGGGCAGGCATTAGTGTGGTTTTGCTAGATTTCCAGAGCTGAGGTTGCTGATGTAGATTTAGTTTGGGTATGTTGAGCAAGGATTTGCACTCGTTTTATTTTAAATCTGTCACGCAACCTGTTTACATACCCGTTTAACTGTATATCTCAAAAGAATATATGGGTGTAATTGTCAGTGGTCTGGGCTAATTGTTCTTAGAAACGGTCTTATCAGGGAATTTATTCTAAGGTTTGTTTGATGACAAAATGGCATAGAGGAATGCAACTTCTGCCATCTAACACCATTTGGCATTTCTTAAAATGATTCTTTTTTAACCCCTTTTTCCAGACACTCTCCCTTTCCCCCCCCCCCCCCCCCCC